CACACACAAAGTAGTTGCACAAAACAACTTTGTCAAAATCAAGAAAAAATAATTTTCTTTAAATAAAAATAATAATCATGCATATAAGGAGGGTAGGCTCCATACTTGTGATTGAAACAGGAGGTGCCAAAACTGAATCTCCAAATAAAAGTTCCCTCAAGAAAAGAGAGGCAGGTTATCTTCAAAACTACTCCAGCAGAACAAAGAGCTTCAAGAAAACCAAAGCTCCAACCATTCTCCTTCTACCCCAATAAAAAGAAGGTACATCAAAAGAAAGGCTGACGGAAAGACTCGATCATCCCCAAGCAGATCCTTGCTGACTCTAAAGGCAAAACAAAAATTACCCCACGGCTCAACATCTCCACCACATGAGCCATCAAGCGTAGTCATTTAAAGCTTCAACCACCATCCTTCCATCCAAGAAAGAGAAGGCATAACATAGAAAAAGCCAAAGGAAAGGTTTGATCATCCCCAAGCGGATCCTCGCTTATTCTGAAGGCAAAACAAAAATATTACTTCACGGCTCAGCATTGCCACCACATGAGTCATCAAGACGCTCATCTAGAATCTTCGCCACATTTCCAAAGGAGAATAAGGGCTACACAAAGGTCCATCAAAGCAATTAAAAGATTCAAAACCTCCATATCCCCATGGTTTCAATAGAAAAGAAAAAAAAAAAAAACCTTTCATCCCCAATGGATGACCAAAAAGAAAAGGCCACGATAGAAAAGGTCGAATAAAAAGCCCTAAGCAGATCATCTCAGAAAAATCTACAAAAAGAAGGAAGCGAGAAAATTTTCATCCTCCATTTCAATAAAAGCTTCACAAAGCTAGGAGCCAAGACTCCATCACCAAAATATCAAATCAAAGTCGAATTACCAGGAAGCCAATGAATTCCTTGGTGGATCACCAAAAAAGGAAAAATTTCATCTCGCAGCGGATGCCCAAAAAGAAGAAAAAGTCTGCGTGCATAAAAGAAATAAAAAAGTAAAAAGGTGCACGCATTATCCAAAAGAAAAAAGCCAAATTTCAAATTCGCGAAAAAAGAGATAAAACGCGAGAAAAAGGTGAAATTAAATAATCAGAAAGCCCATTCTCTAGCGAAATAAGAGCATCAGTAAAGTCATCTCATACCAAAACTCCATTCCCCCAGGGGCAAATCAAAATTAAATCCTCGGGAAGGCAATCAATCCCCCAGTGGATCTCCAAAAAGAGAAAAAATCATCCCCAGTAGGCCTACTGCAAAGACAAACTTCAAATTCATATCCTCAAGAAGTTATTTGCTTACCCAATATGGATATCTCCAGTGGAATGCATAGTCAAGATCTGGCTAGCAAAGAGCCAATATACCCCAGAAAGGGACATCAAGCTATTCAAAGGCAATACAAGCCCAAGTATAAAGTTTTCACCATTATTGAAGCATCCGCCTACTCAAGAGGCACTAACATTAGAAATCAATAAATCCTCAGTGGATTCCTGCCTAGATTAAGAGGCAATCATCAAGAATCTCCGACAACCAACAAGTCAGATGGCTATAGAAAAAGCCAAACATAAAAAATCCCCAGCAACCAACAAGTTGGACGACTATTAGAAAATTCAAAAACAGTGAAAATCCCTAGCAATCAGCAAGCTGGATGGCTAATAGAAAAAGCCAAAAGAAAATAATCTCTGGCAATACCAGATGACTACACCTAGAAAAGTCAAAAACATAATTCTCAAACAACTAATCCACATGGAGTTGACGCATGACCAGAAAGCAGTAAGCCACTAGCACACCTTCAGTCCAGAAGAAAGGACTCAAAACCAGATGAGGTTTCATACTCATCAGCCACAGGATCGGCTACCTCACCGAAGGAGCATCCTGCAAACTGAAGGATAGGCTACCTCATCGAAGGAGCATCTTGCAAATCAAAGGATCAGTTACCTCAATAAAGGAGCATCCTACAAACCGAAGGATCAGCTATCGCATCGAAGGAGCATCCTGGAGGTTCACATTCATTGCCCGAGGGGTCAGCTACTGCATCAAAGGATCATCCTAAGGGAAAATCTTCATTCACTAGTCATGGGATCAGCTACCGCATCAAAGGAGCATCCTGGAGGTTTATATTCATTGCCTGAGGGGTCAGCTACTGCATCAAAGGAGCATCCTAAGGGAAAATCTTCATTCACAAACTGAAGGATCATCTACCGCATCGAAGGAGCATCTTGGAGGTTCACATTCATTGTCCGAGGGGTCAGCTACCGCATCAAAGGAGCATCCTAAGGAAAAATCTTTATTCACCAACCACGGAATCAGCTACCGCATCGAAGGAGCATCCTGGAGGTTCACATTCATTGCCCGAGGGGTCAGCTACCACATCAAAGGAGCATCCTAAGGGAAAATCTTCATTCACCAACTACGGGATCAACTACCGCATCGAAGGAGCATCTTGGAGGTTCACATTCATTGCCCGAGGGGTCAACTACTACATCAAAGGAGCATCCTAAGGGAAAATTTTTATTCACCAGCCGACGGGATCAGCTATCGCATCAAAGGAGCATCCTGAAGCTTCACACATATCGTCCGATGGGTCAGCCTCCGCAGCAAGGAAGCATCCTAAAGACAACATCAGATTGCATTCATCGTCTAGAGGATCAGTTACCTCATCAAAGGAGCATCCAAAGGACAGCCAAGCAAGAGGGTTAACTCATTCACCTACCAACCGATCTCGTAGGCATATTGAGCCAACAGTCGCTTAGTCGCTTAGTCAGTTGAAAGGGGGGCAACTGTAGACCAAATATCTTGTTCGGCCTTACAATAAAGGTCAGAGATCCTCCATTCGAATATGGACAAGGCTTCATTGGGCCCCTAGTAATGTTCACTAGGCTCCATGTGAGGATAGGAGAGCTTTCTGGACTCAAAAAATAAGTAAAAGGTAGGAAAATCCTGTTAGGGAGCTTGGGACGGCCATCCCACTTCCCAAACAGTTGTCCTAACCCATTTTTACACTTGGGACGACTGTCCCACTTCCCAAACGGTTGTCCCGAATGTCCCAAACGGTCGTCCCAACTGTCCCAGACGGCCATCCCAGCCCAGACGACCGTCCCGACTTGCCTGACACGATTTTGATATAAATAAGGGCTCGTTCCAACTCATTTTCACACACTTTCACACTCTCCTATGCTATGAGGACCCATATTTGGGACTTTTAAGTAACTCTGAGTATTTTCCAAAGTAAGAGTGATCTTTTTGACACTCGAGAAGTTTAGTTAATAATTTTTGTTCGAGGAAGGAGTGCCTTTGTAGAGTATGGGACTATAAAAAAGCATCCTATAGTTCAAGATTTATAAAAGCTCGCTTCGGAAGTTTTTCTTCATATCTCTTCTCTTGTATTGCTTTCTTTTATTGTTTTCCTATGTGTAGTAGAAAATAGGCTTCTCATGTATTGCTTTCTTTTATTGTTTTCCTATGTGTAGTAGAAAATAGGCTCATGTAGATAGTCATTTTAATATCACGTAATAAAATAGGGTAATAACGTAATTTCTCATAATATTCGTTTTATGAATTAATCCGTCATAGGGAACCCAAAAGGGGCGTTGTGGGGGTGTTAATACCTTCCCCACACGTAACTAACTCCCTTATCTGACTCTGGTTATAATAGTCAAGTTTGGTTTTTCTTAAAATCAACGTCTTTTTATCCTTTTCCAATGTTTATGGTAAAAAACATTGGTGGCGACTCCAGAGCTCATTTACGAAAACCTCGTTCTTAAGAGTAGTTCAGTTATCGAACACCTTAAGAGCGATGATCATATTTTTTAAAACAAATGCGAGTTATCAAAATCATCGCATCGCTCCGACCGTTTTTTGTGGCGGTGACATTGCAACCAATCCTTGAACCTTAAGTGCAACCCCTTCAAGTTTGGGCCTTATTTGAAGCCTAGTGTGTTGAGGCCCAGTGTGTTAAGGCCCAGTGTGATGAAACCCAATGTGTTATGGCCCAGATGGTCCTCCATCAGGAATGGATTTAGAAATAAGTAATATTTCCAGTAAAATGATATATTCTCTTTTTCTTGCAACCCCTTTAAGTTTGGGCCTGAATTTAGAAACAAGTAATGTTTTTAGTAAAATGATATATTCTTTTTTTCTTACAATCAAGTCTTGAACCTTAAGTATAACCCCTTTAAGTTTGAACCTTATTTGAAGCTTAGTAAGATGAGACTCAATGTGGTATGGTCCGGATGTTCCTCGATTAGAAACAATTATGTATTCATATTTCATTAGAAAATGTATATGTAATGTGATGACCTGAATGAATTACCAGTTACCAGTTTGAACATTACCAATTATTTAATTACCAGTTTGAACATTACCAGTTATTTAGTTACCAGATTAAACATTACGTTTAATTACCAGTTACCAGTTTGAACATTTTAGAGTCAGAGGAAAGTTAGTAAAAACGTAACTGTATTTTCATTTTCAAAATAGGTCTCTAAGTCGTCTAGGCGAGTAACGCCTTGGTATATATGCTCCCCCACAGCTTCAACGCTTAACCCGGGGGAAATACAAAATGGGGCCCATACCTCTACTGGACAAGTCTCCGTTCAAGAACATAAATAATCACAGGAAAATAACTGAAAAAAAGATCTGAACTCAGTTTAATTACCAGTTAGTTGAACTTACGTTTAATTACCAGTTAGTTGAACTTACGTCTTATAAAAATAAATTACCGTCTTATAAAAATGAGTAAATCAATCTTCCATCTAATTACCAACTTATAAAAATAAGTAAATCAATCTTCCGTTTAATTACCAAACTATAAAACTACATAAATCAATCTTCCGTTTAATTACCAAATTATAAAACTAAGTAAATCAATCTTCCGTTTAATTACCAACTTATAAAAATAAATAAATCAATCTTCCGTTTAATTACCAAACTATTAAACTACATAAATTTAATTACCAACTAATAAAAATAAATCAATCAATCTGCCGTTTAATTACTTATAAAACTAAGTAAATCAATCTTCGTCCTCAATGACCTTGGTGTCTAGCCCTTTGAGCTCATCCTTAGAAATTTCAACAACAGTGACAAGGGAATACAGCTCTTCCTTGGCATCTTCATCATCGTTTCTTTTCCGAGCAATTCTTACTCTAATTCTCCTTGGAACACTCCTGATTCCCTGACTCCAGACGAGCTTGTTCAGCTTTACATCAAGCCTCACATCATTGGTTCCCATGGCTTTCTGGGCAAACTTCCTTATCTCCTTAATAGCTTTGGGAGCCTTTTTCTTAAATGTGCTATTATACACAAAATTGGTTAATAACTATAAAATTGTTTAAGGCGATTATTGAAGCGTGAAATACGGCGCTGGTTCAATTTGACACAAAGAAATTAAAAATTGTAGAGAAAACAAAGTGTAAGGAGGGTGAATAAATTACCAGCCATGGAGGCGCTTGTGGAGGTTAATGGTGTACTCTCTGGTAACCACCTCCTCCTTCCTTCCCTTAGTCTTCTCCACCATTTTCAACCACCGACTACTCACTCACTTTACCTTGGGGTTTGGAAAGGGTTTCGGCAGCTTCCAACATTCAACCGAATACGAAGAGGAGACTCCACTCAAATATAACAAAACCTAATCCTAATGGGCTTCGACTTGGGTTTGAATGCTTAACGCGCTTTATTAAAAAGGCCCAAAAATAGTTTTTTAACCTATGGGTATGGGTACAATTTTTTAAAACATTTACTGAAATGGATAACTTACAAAAAAATTATGTATGATCTTAAGAAAGAAACAAGACAAAAGTAGTTATAAGAATAAATATAATATTAAAGGTTGATTGGATAAAAATATAAATAAAACAAAAGTAATTTTAAAGGAATTATTTAATTTAGAAACGATATTTTAATTTATTAATATTAAATTTTATTATTATTATTATTATTTATTTTTATAATTATTATTACTATTATTATATTATAAACACATCAAAACAATTTCGACAGATAAATAAAAAAAATAAAAAATACAAAAGAATCCAACCAAAATTCATCAAAAATTTCAAAGTAAATTAAAATTTTATTTTGATTCCTAAATTTAAGATTGGTCATCCAAAATGCTTTTCTAAAAATATGAGTTATTCGTTGAATTATATAATAAATAATAAATAAACATAATTTTTCATCTCCCATATAAACAAAATCACTATTTTTAGAAGTATCGGTGGAGTCGCAAATTCATACTCCCAATCTGAAAAAATAATTTTGAAACATCATTACTAATTAATAGTGACTAAAGAAATATTCAAATAAGTAAAACTTATAATGGATAACATAACCAAGTAATTACTATAATAATGAATAGTTTAAAGTATTAGGAGAATATATAACTATATTCGTTTTTTTTAAAGGTATATATTACATTTATAAAAATTATATAAAATATTGTTCCAATTTGTAGAAGTCTATTAACGTTACTAAATTAATACAATATTGTTTATATTAACTTTTATCTTTTATGTATCCTGTTTTATTAAAGCAAAATTTATTTCTTATATATATAAATAGACCTTTATGTCCTTTTTTATAAACTTTAAATATATATAAATTTATTATTTATATACTTGGTTATAAAAAGATACACGTTAACTTAAACGAATCTGTTATATAAAATTTAGTATGTTACAAATCAATTAAATACAAAACTATCTCAAACTTTCAAGTTTACCCAATAATACATTAGATCATCTTTCAAAACCCTAAAATTTATCAACTTAATTTCAGGGTATTGGAAGCATAACGCGCAAACCAAGTCCTATGATTTGTGAAAATATAAGAAATTGGGCATTGATGTAACTCTGACTATGTTTTTTAGTTTAATCGTATGTCAATAAAATAAAATATCGTGAATATAACAAAGTCCGAGGAAGTTAAAAACTCGATTTCAGGTTTCATCACACCAAAACTCAAATTGAACATTTTTAAAATTTATATCTACAAAATGATTTATACATGTCACATCTACTCGGTTACACTACTACAAGAAAATATTAAATTACCATAGAAATTTACCCACGGATATTACCGACAGATATATATACGTCAAAAAATAAATGATTATTGACGAAAATTACTGATGAATTTAGAGTAGTTATGGAATTTGATCTTACTTACAGATATATTCATAGGTAAATAAACAATTAATTACTGACGGATATATCCGTTGATAAATCCGTCGATAAATGAATAATTAATTACCGACGGATATATCCGTCAATAAATCCATCGGTAAATAAATAAATAATTATTGATGGATATATTCATCGGTCAATTCGTCAATAAATGAACAAATAATTACCGACGGATATATTTTTCGGTAAATTAATAATTTTGGAAAATGAACAATTAGTTGTCGATCGAATATCCGTCGGTAATTATTTGTTCATTTACCGACTGATTTAAAATATATTTTTAACAATTAACATTAAATTAAAAAAATTAAATATTTAAAATTATATAATAATTACTTAATTTAAATATATTTTAATAAACACGACACACACTTTCACCATCAAGCATGCTCTTACATCCAACATATAAATATATAACTATATAAATATGTCAAAATATATAAATATATTTGTATTTATATATTTTATATTTATATATTTATACGGATATACATTTATTTGTATATAAATATAATTTATTTGTAAAGTATTATTAGAAAAACTTAGTAGCCTAGTGGTTGGAGTATCAATCTCTAACTCTAAGGTGCTGGGAATATAATATAAATGGAAGGGGAAACTTCTAGATAAATAGAGAGATTTATTTTATAAATTAAATAATATAATAAATAATAATAATAAAAAATATGTCCAGATGACTGGATTACCAATGATTTCTATCCATCGATAATCCAGTCTGTAATATATATTTACCGATGAATTTTATCCGTCGGAAAATCCAATTTTTCTTGTAGTGTTAGGTTATTCTCACTAATTTCAATTTTGGCTTTAGTCATAAATTCAACTACTTCAACTTTTTCTTTAGTTTTAACCTCATTCTCAACTTTTGAACAAGTACAATCCTTGTTATAAAAAGAACCTTTTACTTTTTCGAGATTATGTGAGAAGAGAAATCTTACATCAAACAAATCTTACTTTGATGCTTACTTTTCTTATTATAAAAGGAGTACAGTATTTTACTTTTCTTACACCAAAATCTCTATAAGTCTAAAGCAGGCGCCCAGATGTTGGTATAAGATATTTGATTCTTTCATTATTTGTCTTGGTTACAATAGACTGAGCTCAAACCATTGTACATATTACAATAGGTTTGGTGATAATGATTTTGTTATCTTATTGTATGTGGATGACATGTCGGTAGTAGGCCTCAACATAGATCGAATCCAAGAGTTAAAGACACAATTGACTAGGGAGTTTGACGTGAAGAACTTGGGACCAACAAACAAGATTTTAGGGATGAAAATTCACAAAGATAAGAAAGATAGGAAGGTTTGGCTTTCTCAAAAGAATTACTTACTGAAAATCTTGCGGCGCTTCAACATGCAAGATTGCAAGTTAATTTTCACCCCACTCCCTATCAATTGTAAGTTATCCTCAAGTATGAGTCGGAGCAATGAAATGGAGAGGATGGAAATGTCTCAAGTACCGTATGTATCAGTAGTGGGAAGTCTTATGTATGTCATGATTTGTACAAGATCAGACATTGCACAAGCAGTGGAAATAGTTAATAGGTTCATGAGAAATCCTGGTGGAGAGCATTGGAGTGTTATAAAGAGGATCCTTATATACATCAAATGAACCTCAGGTGTTACATTATGTTATGGAGGATTAGAACTAGTTGTTAGAGACTATGATTCAGATTTTGCAAGTGATTTGGATAAAAGGAGATCTATTATTGGTTATGTTGTTTACAGTTGCAGGAGGACTACAAGAAAATCGCGTATTACCGACGGATTTGTATTTGTCGAAAAATAATCATTATCGACTGAAAATTACCATGGATATAAAATATTTGTGGAATTTGATGTTATCCGATCGGTAAATCCGGTCGATAAATTAATAATTATTTACCGACGAATATATCCGTCAGTAAAATTATATAATATAATTTAATTATTCACCTAATTAAAAAATAAAATATTTTTTATTTAATAATTTAATTTAATCATAATTAGATTAATTTATAATAATTTATTAAATTAAATAATTTTAAAAAATAATTATTTAATTATATATAAATATATAAATATATAAATATATAAATATATAAATATATAAATATATAAATATATAAATATATAAATATATAAATATATAAATATATAAATATATAAATATATAAATATATAAATATATAAATATATAAATATATAAATATATAAATATATAAATATATAAATATATAAATATATAAATATATAAATATATAAATATATATAAAAATATATAAATATAATTTATTTGTAAATTGTTATCAAAAATTTCTAGTAGCTTAGTGGTTAGAGTATCGACCTCCAACTCTAAGGTACTGGGTTTTTAATCCTATAAAATAAATATGATATAAATAAGTAAAATTTTTAATAAATAATAAAATTATTACCGATGGATTCCAGATCCGTCGGTAATTTCGTAACACATTTATCGATGAATTTTTGTTATTACCGACGGATTTTGACCGTCGGTAATTTTAATATTTCTTGTAGTGACAGTAAGTTGGTTATCTAAGTTACAGGATGTTGTAGTTCTGTCTACCACAGAAGCTGAGTACATGGTAGCCACCCAGGCATGCAAGGAAGCTATTTGGATTAGGAAGATAATGAAGGAACTTGGACACAAGCAACAACAAATTGTTGTGTATTGTAACAGTCATATTGTCTTGCGAATTATAAGGAATCCAGCCTTTCATTTCAGGGCAAAGCACATAGAAATTAGATATCATTTTGTTCGAGAAGTAATGGAAGAGGATAATATGGATATGCAAAAGATTCATACAGATGAGAACCTAGCGGTTAGTGTTGACAAGTTTGTATGAAGTCGATCCTACTATGGCCTAGCGGAAAAATAATCAATATGGATGACAAGAATAAAGCAAGCATGGTATGAATATTTGATTAATTTTAATCAAAATCTTCAAGTGGGAGATTATGAGAAGAAAAGTCTCACATCAGACAAATCTTACTTTGTTGCTTACTTTTTTTTACTATAAAAGGAGCATAGCATTTACCTTGTAAAACATACACCAAAATAATTTCTTTTTCTTTCTCTTATTGCTTTAGTACTTGAAACATAAATTAAGAGAGAAAAATAGTCTCTCATTTTAGGTTCTCTTAGAGTTATTTTTCCTTTATTTTCAAGAGATGGTATTATTGTTTCCTCCTTGAAGGTAGAGAAAAAAGTTGTAATTTCTTTCATTAGTGAAATTACTTTTTTGTCTATTATCCGTGTTTTTTTTTTATTTTAGTTGTGTGTGTTTATGTTTTTGTTTGATATCTAATCAGACTAATAGTATCGGTGCATGTTCCACCAATAATTTAAATAATTGTATAATTATAATAAGATTAAAAAGAATAAAAAATAAATAAAATTTTTTATTCTTTTATATATCCTAAAAGAAATAATAATGTAAATTATTTTTATATATAAAACATATTTATTTTAACTGGAAAACAAAAAAAATTGTCACACGCCTCATTGTCTAACCGTACATAACCTTTAGTTTTAAGATAAGATTAACAAACTAATTAATGACATCAAATAGGGTCAATTTATTATATATATATATATAATATAATATAAATGAATAAATCCAAAATGTTAAAATGTATTTATCTTTACACTGGAGCATGTTTTAAGAATTAATGTGACGTTGGGTGATGATTCTCACCGTGAATTAGAATATTTGGTGTTCTTGTATTTGTATAGAGTCACTCATTCATTCATATTTAAAGAAATTAATAATAGAAAATGTTAAATGAAAATTTAGGTTAATACAAATATATATATATATATATATATATATATATATATATATATATAATATAATATAAATAATTGACATTTAATAAAACGATTTTTGTAAAAAAAAATTAATGTAATAAAAAAATATATTTCAATGAAAATTTAAATAAAATATATGTAAATAGCTAACATTTAAGAATTTATAAAACACGAAAGTATATACCAAATAATGACAAAATTAGGTATGATTTTAAGAAAGAAACAATACGAAAGTTGTTATAAGAATAAATGTAATTTGAAAGGTTGCTTGGATAAAAATATAAATAAAACAAAAGTAATTTTAAAGGCATTATTTAATTTAGAAATGATATTTTAATTTATTAATATTAAATTTTATTATTATATTATTTTTATTTTTATTATTAATAATTTAATATTAATATTATTTTTTTATAATTATTATTACTCTTATTATACTATTAACACCTAAAAACAATCTTGAGAACCAAATAAAAATGAAAAAAATATATAAAGAATCCAACCAAAATTCATGAAAATTAAAAAAAAAATCAAAACTTTATTAAATTTAAGATTGGTCATCCAATATGCTTTTCTAAAGATATGAATCACTGGTTGAATTATAAAATACATAATAAATAAACATATTTTTTTCATCTCCAATCAACAAAATCACTATTTTTTAGAAGTCGAGTTGCAAATTCATATTAATTAGCAGTGATTAAAGAAATATTTAAATAAGTAAAAGTTATAATTGATAAATATAACCTGCTAAATAAAAAAAATTATAAATATAAGATAAAAATGATTAACAAAACATCTAAATAAAATTATAAATATAAATACAAACAAGATAAAGTAATTACTGTAACTTTAAAATCTTAAGAGAATATACAGCTGTATTATGTTTTAATAAAAAAAATTATTTCTTATATATATATATTATTTATTTATTTATTTTAAATATAAAAATATACAATAATTATTACGAGGAATGTTTAGACTATACATTAAAACTAGTTTATATTTTCAAACTTTAAAAATTAACCCATTTAACATTTTATATATTATTTATTATTTATTATTTATACAGTTGTTTATAAAAAGATACCTCTTCAATTAAATGAATGTGTATAAAATTTTAACTGGTTAGAAATCAATTAAATACAAACTATCGCAAACTATTTGGTTGACAATACAAATTATCTCAAACTTTGTTTATCGAATGATACATTAAATCATCTTTTAAAATCCTAAAATTTATCAACTTAATTTCATGCAAAGGAAATCCTGATACTTCATCGATGGAGCAGGAGGTGGGTTGCTAGTCATCGATGGAGCAGGAGATGTGGGTTCCTGACAGACTTCAACGATGGGGCAGGAGAGGTGGGTTGCTGACTCAAGGAGACTTCATCAATGGAGCAGGAGAGGAGATGTGGGTTGCCCATTCAAGGGAGACTTCATCAATCAATCTAGCAGGAGAGATGTGGGTTGCTGACAGTCTTCATCGATGGAGCATGTGTGGGTTGCTGATTCAACGGGAGACTTCATCGCTGTGAGTTGATGGGGGGCAGGAGATGACTTTGGTGATGCTGGCGCTGCAGATGAGGTTGAAGATGACATTGGGGTTGTACGGTTGGCAAAATTTGGGTAATGTATATATACATATGATACATATTTAAATGTGTTAGGGTCATTATTTATTAAGCCAAATAATAAAGTGATATGAATAAATTAAAGTTTTGGCTAAAGGCATATGTCATGAAAATAATATTGTGTAAAGACCATAAAGTAATTTCTAATTTGATGAGGGGCCAAATTGGAAATACTAAAACTTAATAATTAACCTAATTTTGGTTATATAAAGGGTCATGGTCCCCTTCTGAGAGCACACAGAAAAATTATATTTATAGTCCCGTTCTTTTCCTTCTATCCCCATCAAGAGAGAAAATAAATAGGGAAATACAGGTGCTCTTCAGGTGGAAGACCATAAGATCAAATCAAAGGTGCTCTACAAAGAATATCATCATTATGGATAATTCAGGTACGCTTTCGCATTTAGTTCATAACATGTTTACAGTATGAGATTATATATGTATGTTTGATCATAAGGAAGAAGATCATATTCAATTACAGTTTAAACTAACAATTGGTATCAGAGTCACTCATACATTATTCATGTTTGTGTTAGAAAATATTTAAGAATTGAGATTAATTTACAGAATCCTTAATCCCTAATTAAAAACCCCAAAATTGAGAATCCTAGGGTTTCTTAAAATCCGATTCTCTGTTCCGTGTGTGACATTATCTGGAGACGGCACAACTGTTGGCTAATTTAATCCCCCCAACAACTGCTTGGGGAAGCTTCGTGGCGCCGTCGAGCACCCTCGACGCCACATCGATCGTAGACGGCAGTGGAACCTCTGCCAACCGATCCAAAATTTGGCGCCAGGGGCACCGAATTTGGTAATGTTCGCCGTCATGGTGATCAAATAGGTCACGTAACTGTTGCTACCCTGGAACAATTGGCGACGAGAGAGGATGGTGAATATTATGTGATGGGATTGATGGTTCACGTTGTGCTGGGTGCTATTTCATAGGTGCTTTATTGCTTATGATGAAAATTTTATAATTGGGGCGTGATGCCCCTATACTGAGAGGGAAGGAAAAGTTTGTAATGTTCATCATCTATCTGTAATTATTTAATGTAATATTAAATTTGAGTTTGTTTGTGAGATGGCGGGACAAATCTTTTTGGTAAATATAAAATTTAAATCAATAAAGCTTCTAAGAATTTTGGGGAGCTGAAGGGCCAGAGTAGGAGCAGAGGTATAATGTGGACACCTCATATGCCTCTAAGGCGTGGACCCCAACCCATGCCTGGAATGCGGGGCTTTAACCTTGTAATGATGGGAGTTGGAGGAATTGACCTTGTGTTTCCTCACCATGAAAATGAAATTACTCGAGTTGTGCTTGCATGTAAGAAAAGTGATATAAGCGTATGGATGCACAATGGTTTTGTCACCGTTGATTCCGTGAAGATGTCAAAATCTTTGGGAAATTTTTTTCACAATACGTCAGGTTATAGACATTTACCATCCACCGGCCTTGAGATATTTTTTGATGAGTGCCCATTATCAATCTCCTGTCAACTACTCAAATGTACAGCTTGAAAGTGCTTTAGATCGTATTTTTATATATATATATATATATAAATAAATAAACAAATTTTGGTTTTGTTATATAATATTCAAATTTTTTTGGTAGTTTAATATTTTTTTTGTGAGCAAATTGAGTCAAGAAGTTACCAAAGTAACCTCTCTTGAATTGGGCAGTTCATAAAAAATATTGAATGTTAGTGTTTTGTGTATATTCATGCGAGTATTAGTCGGCCCAAAGGAAGATTAATATTTGGCCGAATTGCACACACACTTGTAGTGATAAACATGTGATAATTATAAGGATTTGCTTTGTCGATGATAAATCAATCCAAAGACTCGGTTTGTTGTTGGACGTGTTTTATTGTCAATGTTTGATTATTACAACAAGATACCTCTAGCAGTTAATATTATTGTCCAAAGACTTGATATTGATGGTGCATTGGGTGTCTTGAGATGGGTTAAACCATTATTTGAATATATATTTTATTTATAATTATTTATTTTTTATAATGTGAGCATAATTAGTTTATTTCTTTTATTCTAATCCAACTTACAATTGCTTCAGTATCCGCCAATTTAAATTATGTTCCGATCCTCAAAAGTATGTTTCCTACTTTGGTGCGTTCGAAGTCAATTTAGCGTCGAGTACCTAGTAACACTTGGTGGTTAGACTCGAGTGCAACTACTAACATCAGTGTTTCTATAAAGGGTTGCCTAAGCTACCGGAAGCCAATTGATTCTGAAAGATGGATATATGTTGGAGATGACAAATCGGTAGAGTTGGAAGCCATAGGGTATTTTAAATTGTTATTGAGTACTGATTTTTATTTGGATTTGAAAGACACTTTTGTTGTGCCGTCATTTAGACGGAATTTGGTTTCAGTTTCTTATCTGGACAAATTAGGTTATTTGTGTTCATTTGGAAACAATAAGTTCAGTTTGTCTTTTAATTCAGATATTATTGGAACTGGTTCACTTTTGCCTTATGATAATCTGTATTTACTTGATACTGTGACCACCTATAATGAAACCCTTAATACAGAATCACGGGGTACTAAACGTAAAATTGATGATACTCACTCAGGAGCATTATGGCACAGGCGCTTAGGTCACATCTCTAAAAATAGAATTGAACGACTTGTGTCAACTGGAATCTTAGAGTCCATTGACTTCACAAACTTTGATGTTTGTGTTGAATGCATTAAGGGCAAACAGACCAAAGCGAAAAGATTAGGTGCATATAGAGCTACGGACGTCTTAGAGTTGATACATACGGACATTTGTGGGCCATTTCCTACACCTTCGTGGAATGGTCAACAATACTTTATATCATTCATAGACGATTACTCACGATATGCATACTTATTCCTTATACATGAAAAGTCACAATCTCTAGACGTGTTCAAAACATTTAAAGCTGAAGTTGAAAATCAACTCAATAAAAGAATTAAGTCTGTCAGATCTGATCGTGGTGGTGAGTACTATGACAGATTTGACGGGTCAGGTGAACAACGTCCAGGACCTTTTGCCAGGTACCTAGAGGAGTGTGGAATTATCCCACAGTATACCATGCCCGGATCACCTAGCATGAATGGTGTAGCTAAAAGACGAAATCGAACTCTTAAAGATATGGTCAGGAGTATGATTTGTCATTCCACCTTACCGGAGTCACTCTGGGGAGAGGCACTAAAGACGGCAGCTTATATTCTGAACAGAGTACCAACTAAAGCAGCGACCAAAACACCTTATGAGCTTTGGACTGGGCGACAACCTAGTCTGAAGCATTTCCATGTGTGGGGATGTCCAGCTGAGGCAAGGCCTTATAAGCCAAATGAAAAGAAATTGGACTCCCGAACAGTAAGTAGTTATTTTATTGGTTATGCTGAAAGATCCAGGGGATATAAATTTTATGATCTCACATTAAAGACAATTTTATGAAAAAACTGCTACGTTTTTTGAGGATATTGAGTTTGGGAGGAAGAATAAAATCAGGAACTTTGTCTTAGAGGAAGAATCGGTAACAATTCCAGAACCGATTCAAACAGTTACTTTTGATAAAGTAAGTTCGGAACCTCCACAAGGCATTGTTAATGAATCACTTACTCAAGATGATTTGGTTGTTCATGAAGAACAAACTCAAGATCCTCAAGAACATGTGCATCATGAGCCAATAACTTTGCGGAGATCCACTAGAGAAAGAAGAAGTACTATTTCGGATGATTACATGGTATTTCTTCAGGAACATGAAGAAAACAATGGTATGATGGAAGATGACCCAGTTAACTTCCGTCAAGTCATGCAAGGTTCTAACTCTGAAAAGTGGATCGAAGCAATGAAGGAGGAGTATAAGTCCATGCAAGACAATAAGGTTTGGGAACTTGTCCCATTACCAGAAGGTATGAGACCCATTGGTTGCAAGTGAATATTTAAGACCAAACGGGATTCTAAAGGTAATGTGGAAAGGTATAAGGCTCGTCTGGTAGCTAAGGGCTATACCCAAAAGGAAGGGATTGATTTTAAAGAGACTTTCTCTCCAGTTTCATCGAAAGACTCTTTTAGGACAATCATGGCTCTTGTAGCACATTATGATTTGGAGCTTCATCAAATGGATGTCAAGACGGCGTTTCTTAATGGCAACATTGATGAGACGATTTATATGGTGCAACCAGAAAATTTTGTGCAGGGAGATTCAAAGAGTATGGTTTGCAAACTAACAAAATCCATTTATGGACTAAAACAAGCATCTCGTCAATGGTACTATAAATTTCATCAAATAATTCTCTCATTTGGCTTCGAGATGAATATTGTTGATGATTGTGTATATCACAAGTTTAAGGGGAGTAAGTATATTTTCCTGATCTTGTATGTTGATGACATTCTACTTAACACTAATGATACAGGCATATTGCACGAAACCAAGAAATTTTTATCAAAGAATTTCGAAATGAAAGATCTTGGTGATGCGTCTTTTGTATTAGGAATTCAGATACACCGAGATCGATGTCGGGGTATTTTGGGATTATCAAAAAGGAGCTATATCGAAACAATTCTTAAAAGGTTTGGCATGTATGAATGTAAATCCGGGGATACTCCAGTTGCTAAGGGAGACAAGTTTAGTCTCAATCAGTGCCCAAAGGGAAATTTGGAAATTGAGGAAATGGAAAAGATTCCCTATGCATCAGCTGTAGGGAATTTAATGTATGCCCAAGTATGTATGCGTCCAGACATAGCATACATAGTTGGGGTTCTAGGAAGATATTTAAGCAATCCAGGAATGGACCATCGGAAAGCAGCAAAAAGGGTCATGAGATATTTAAAGAGAACACAAGATTACATGCTCACATACAGGAGGTCAAACCAGTTGGAGATCGCTGGGTTTTCTGACTCGGACTTTGCAGGATGTCAAGATAGTTTGAAATCCACTTCAGGTTACATTTTCATGTTAGCAGGTGGTGCGGTTTCTTGGCGCAGTGTCAAGCAAACCCTTACAGCTTCATCCACTATGGCAGCAGAATTTGTAGCATGCTATGAGGCGTCGAATCATGGAATATGGCTGAGAAATTTTGTCACAGGGCTGCAAATTGTGAATGGCATTGAAAGACCACTTAAGTTATATTGTGACAACAAATCAGCTGTATTGTATTCCAACAACAACAAAAGTTCGACTAAGTCAAAACACATCGACATTAAGTTCCTAGTTGTTAAGGAAAGAGTACAGAGTGGACAGATTTCCATAGAACATTTAGGGACAAACTCCATGATAGCAGATCCTCTAACTAAAGGACTTCCACCCAAGGTCTTTCATGAGCATGTTGCTCACATGGGTGTTTTACAGTTTGAGAAATTTGTGGTTTAGTGGGAGTTAGTCATTTTCATATATTTTATGTTCTATGTTTAATTTAATATATGTATACATTGTTTTTTTGGACATATTTGGTTATCTATAGATATGCGGTTTTTGTTCATTCATTACACTTTGTACATTAAGGTTTTTATATCGATCTCGATAAGTTAAAGTTTGGACCAGTTGAAAATAGACGTGTACAGATCACCTTCACGTAATTTTTCATGCTACACATTTCATGATGAATCCATGTCATTTGGTTATGTCAGGATAAGTAATCTTGTTGGTTTTAGTTGCGATGATGCAATGAAAAGCTGGTTTGGTTCTATATCCTGATATGATTAATGGACAGGACTTTTGGAATATGCTAAAGGAATATAATGACAATTTTGAGCTCATAAAGTCTAACACATTTGTAAGGTTGTAAAAACATATATATTTGTGACCGGTGGGAGATTGTTGGCAAATTTTGGGTCATGTATATATATGATACATATTTAAATGTGTTAGGATCATTATTTATTAAGTCAAATAATAAAGTGATCTGAATAAATTAAAGTTTTGGCTAAAGGCATATGTCATGAAAATAATATTGTGTAGAGACCATAAAGTAATTTCTAATTTGATGAGGGGCCAAATTAGAAATACTAAAACTTAAGTAATTAACCTAATTTTGGTTATATAAAGGGTCACGGTCCCCTTCTGAGAGCACACAGAAAAAATATATTTACAGTCCCGTTCTTTTCCTTCTATCCCCATCAAGAGAGAAAATCAATAGGGAAATACAGGTGCTCTTCAGGTGGAAGACCATAAGATCAAATCAAAGGTGCTCTACAAAGAATATCATCATTATGGATAATTCAGGTACGCTTTCGCATTTAGTTCATAACATGTTTACAGTATGAGATTATATATGTATGTTTGATCATAAGGAAGAAGATCATATTCAATTACAGTTTAAACTAACATGTACGTGATGCTGAGGCTGGTGATGGACATGATGTTTGTGTTGCAGATGTATTGGTGACAGAGATAAGTTCGGTAATAATGGCGAGGAGGATGATGTTGGAGAAGGCGTGATGGTGAGGAGGATGATTTTTTGTTGTTTTTTTCAAAGATGGTGAAGAGGATGATTTTTCCTTTTTTGTTTTTTTGAGAGGAGGATGACGTTGGAGAAGGCGTGATGGTGAAGAGGATGATTTTTTTTGTTGTTTTTTCTTTGGAAACGTTACTCAAAATACACTTTCTTAAAGTTGTGCGAGACGCGGTAGAAGGTAGATTTGGTAAACCATTTATACAACCTTCTATATAAATTAATATTTTATATTATGAGTAAATATCTAATAAAAAAATCATTATATAGATTGTTTATTCAATGAGAACAGATATATCACGAATAAAACCATTCAATCGATCAACAACCCCTTTTATTCATGTAATAAACATGTGAAGAGTTTATAAAAATAAAAATAATTTAAAATTAATATTATATTATAATGATGTAAAAAAAAATCATTTTCTTCTTTCTATTATTATATCTTGATAGACTTGTCACATTCATGACTCACTGTGTTCGTCATGTTGACATTTTTTCTCCGTTACACCATCCAATCGCGATTGCTAAAATATAACACTTCTTGTTGATCTTCCCACTGGTGCTCATGTTATTGGGTGCAAATGGGTTTTTAAAAATAAATACAACAGAGGTGGCACTGTCCAACGTCACAAAGCTTGACATAAACAATAATTTCTTGCATGGTGATTTGGGCGAGACTGTTTTCATGGATCAACCTCCTAGTTTTTCCTTTAACATTGGCCAAGTTTATCGACTTCATAAAGCTATATATGATCTTAAACAAGCACCGTGTGTGCACGGTATCATAAACTTAGTTCCACGATTGTCCAGTTAGGCTTCACTCCTACGATTAGTGATCACGGATGTAGTTTTGGCAGTATATATTAACTGCATTTTTTGTTGGTTATTCTTTATCTTGGGATCAAATTGGTTATTGGGCAGTCAAAATTGTAACAAGGGTACAGAAGCTATTCCTGTAATAGGATCCTCTTTACAAGATCAATGACTAATTCTATTTTTATACTGATCATATTCTTGTTATAGGAAATTCAAAAATCTGCTATGACCACTCTTATCACCACTTTGCTCTCAAACCAAAGCAAAAATGTCTGGAGCTAATTCTCAACCCTCACTTACGATATCCTCTCTAAAATTGATTGTTGATGCTTCCACTGATTTCACCTATCTTACTCTCTACCGTCAAATTATTATTGGAGTCTTGCAATATCCCACTTTCACTCGGCCTGATCTCCTGTACTCTGTTAACAAAATGTGTCAATACATGCATCAACCCAAGCTTTTTACAAATCAATTAAATACAAATTATCTCAAATTATATGGTTGACAATACACTACATTGAAAATTGAGATTTTATCACAACAGAATGTACCATTCTTGGTTTAGAAAAAAAAAAAAGGCATTATAATACTAAACCATTCATTCATTCTCTTTGAATATTATACTTATCTTTTTACAGTCAAATTTGCTACTGTGAAATTATTAGGAACATACAAATATAATCATTTTGTTTTCTATTATTCATAAGATTATGATGAATTTTTTTAATATTAACTTTTAAATTTAAAACATTTGAAAAAAAAATGGATACACTTGATTTTTTTAATAAAAAATAATAATTAAAATACTATATTTTATTTTAAAAAATAAACATATATTTATATAAAATATTTTATCATTTTATGTTCTGATTTGATACACTAAAATTGTTTTACTTATAAGTGTTAACTGAAACAATTTGAAAACAAAAAATAAATTATATTTTAAATTGAATCAAACATATTTTAGTCTAATCCGTTTAAATCATGATTTATTTGGATTTAGTTTAAGTTAACTCATAGACTTATAACCAACTCATTTTATAGAATAATAATTATTTTTAAATAAAAGAATAATATTATTTTATTAAATATATATATATATATATATATATATATATTATAAATTAATTTAACAAGAGATCTAGTTATTGTATAAGTAACTATCAAAATAATTATCTAACAACTACTTATTCCAAGATCTATGTATTTTTAACTCTTATTTTGATATTCAATTGATGCATTATCTTATAATTTATATATTAAATTATTATATCTTAAATAAAAATTAATTAGATGGCATGCAGATGTGAGGACATGTGATGGATTAATTCGTCATCTAGCTAACTATATGCAATGGAAAGAGTTTGATAATAAGTTTCTTGAATTTGGTACTGAGTCAAGAAATCTTATACTTGGATTGGCTATTGATTGAATGATTTTGTTTAGTAATCTAACTACTAATCATAGTTCCTGACATGTTTTGCTATTTATTTACAATCTTCCTCTAAGCTTGTGTATAAAGCGTAAATACATTATGTTGTATATGATGATCTCAGGTTTCAGACAATGAGAAAATGATATAGATGTATATCTTAGTCCATTGACTGAATATTTGAATTGTTATGGGATGAAAGTGTTGAGATGTTTGATGAATTTGCTTGTGAGTCTTTTAAGATGCATGTCATGTTATTTTGCACTATTAATAATTTTCCTACATATGAAAATTTGTCAAGTTACGATGTAATAGATCATATAACTTGTCCTATTTTTCAACAAAATACTAGTTAATATAATTTTATTTTTTTATTTAATTATTTTGGTATAGATATATTAATATTTTTTAAAATTTTTAAATTAGATCACAATTGACTAGTTAACCTATAAACCTAAATAAGGTTAGACTATATTAAATATTATGATTCATTTTAAAATATAAATAAGATAGGATAAACCATCAATTTTTTTTATTTAGTCTATAAGATCAAATTGGATTGGATTACCCATTTTAAAAGCATTTACTACATTCCAAAATGCATTTTAAAGTTATATTTTAAGAATTCAAAATCTTAATATAAATAGTTTATAACAAAAATAAATTCATAAATGGTATACATTCGGATAGTTTAAAAATAATTTCTTTCAATATTATACTTATCTTTTTTACGGTCAAATTTGTTACTGTAAAATTATTAGGAACATACAAATATAATCATTTTTTCTATTATTCATAAGATTATGATGTATTTTTTTAATATTAACTTTTAAATTTAAAAAATTTGAAAAAAAATGGATACACTTAAATTTTTTAATAAAAAATAGTAATTAAAATACTATATTTTATTTTAAAAGATAAACATAGATTTATATAAAATATTTTATCATTTTATGTTCTGATTTGATATTTTAAAATTGTTTTACTTATAAGTGTTAAAATATATTTAATTCGATGGAACTATTTGAAAGCTCTAAGAAATTGGTTCGGTTAAACAAAAAATAAATTATGTTCTAAATTAAATCAAACTTATTTTAGTCCGATCAATTTAAGTTATGACTTATGTTAGATATTGTTTAGATATTATTTAGATATTGTTAACCACAATATCTTCTGTTTAATTTTTTACTTTCGTTACTCTTTTAGTTGTACTTCTCTCTCTATTATAAATATATTACCATATGTGTGGTTTATACACAAGGGATGTTAATCTCAAACCCTATTTCCTCTATATTCAATATGGTATCTAGAGTTTAAGGTTATTTTGAAATTTTTTCGCGTTTATCCACTATTGGAGCAGCCACTGCCGGTTAAACTGATCTTCCACATAAAAAAAGAGTTATTTTTGTTACTGGATATTATTTAGAAGTGTGAAAGTGCATGTCTAGGAAGGTTCTGACAAGGAAAGACTTGGTATTTAAGTGTGTCCATTAGTGACCCACTTCTCTTTCCTGAGAACTTACCTGGTGTACTGATTCACGCTATTGTCACCGCCGTCATCGCCTCCACCGCCACCGCCATCACCACCATCGCTGCCTCCGCCACCACCGCTGGAGCCGCCGTCGGAGTTTCATTTTTGACTGGCAATATATAGTTTTGCTTGTCTTGGTCAGACGACCATCGGGCCATTGAGATCACCATTATCGGAGTTGGTCGTTCGTTGTCTTCTGCATCGTTTAGTCTCAACAGACTTGTTTTGGTCTTCTCGTTTTGGATCTGTGCTTTGTGGGTTGATTGGATTACTTTGGGTTTTTTTTTAGGGTTTGTTCTCCCGCCCTTCATGACTTCTTCCACTCCTTTTACTACTTCCAATTCTGTTAATAATTTTTCTGCGTTGGCATCTCACCGTGATGACCGGACTCGCCCTCGCAAACAGGGAAAATGACGTCCTAAGTGTGAACATTGTGACAAGTTAGGTCATAAGATTAACAAGTGTTATGCATTATATGGTCTTCTTCCTTGATCTGCTGCAGTTGTTTAGACCGATCTTTCCCCACCTTTGTCTGTTGGGGATCCTCCCTCTTTTGTTGCATCTGACACATCTACTATGTTCAACAAATTTCTCAAATGGTATAAGGATCAACAGTCTTCTAGTTCCACTATATCCATCACACACACAGGTACATACACTACAAGAAAAACACCAAATAGTGACCGAAATTAGTGAATGAAAAATTCAGTCACTGATAGTAACTGAATCAGTGACTGATTTCCCTTTTTATATTTAGTGACTGATTTAGTGACTAAAATTTCAATCACGATATATCGATCATCGATTCGATCACCGAATCGGTACATCGATAATTTTTTTTTATATTTAGTAACTCGATTTAGTGACTAAATTTTCAGATCACTAAAAAAAATAATTTTTAAATTGATAACTATTTTTCATTTATATAAATATTTTATTTAAAATATTTTAAATATAAATCTACTTAATAATTTAAAATAAGTGATAACATTGTTAATAAAATTATAAAAATTTTAAAAAAATAGTTTACTAACTTATTAAATAATTTAGTAATATAATTATTTAATTTTATTTTTTAATTTAGCATGTGAATAAAAAAATTAAAATTGATTATTAAATTAGTCACCGAATCGGTCAATCGATTCGATCACTCGAATCGAGTCACTGAATCGGTCACTGAATCGATCATTGATTCGATCAGTTCATCGATTCGATCACTGAATCGGTCACTGATTCGGTCATCGAATCGGTCACTAAATCAATAATTAAATTAATTATTAATTTAGTCTCTTTTATATATATATAT